GAGCACGTGGCAGGTCCAGACCCATGAGGATGGCCAGTGTCCCGCTCTGATGGCAGCAGCGTCCTAAACAAACACAGCATCTTCCTCCTGAGAATCATTTTCCCAGGAGTTATGGCCGCAGATGTGTTATTTTGCTCTTTGACCTGCCTGCCTCCCAGGAAAAACTCCATTTCATTGATCAGACCATTTCAAGCTCTTTGCAGGGCTGCTAATGACCAAGCTGTAACAGCAGTATTTTAACCTCTGCATTTTCTCCTAGTGTTCAGTGTCAGCATTATAAAGCACCACTTAAAATACAAGCACAGGCAGTCAATTAGTTTAATCTTTATTACATCTGAATGTACAGCAGCTACATCCGAGCAAAACCACTGTGTCAGATACTCAGCAGAGTGGGTTTGGCTGGGAAACAGCATCCCACCACTTTGGGAAACTCCATCCACCACTGCACACACCAGCAGAGCTCACGGACACCCCCAGGGCTCATTTCTCAGTGCAGCCACAGCACGAACAACACCCCCAGCACCTGACTCCTGACTTTGGAAGGAGCTATATTCCTCCCACCTCCTTCTAATTCTCCTATGAATTGGTTGTTATTTACATGTTTTATACCCCTGTGCAGGACAAGGTCCAGGATCAGCACCCTCTCAGGGATGAGGGATGGATACGGGCAAAGCCATGGGCTCACCCTGTGCCCCCAAAACCGCTTGGCTGGGGGCTGAGCACTTCCCCCCACGACTCCGTCGATGATCTCCTGCATACGGGGCCATCAGAGCAGCAGAAAGAACTGCCCGCAAGCAAAACCAGCCCCATCTCATCACTCCTACTTCCCCGTGCTAATCCTCTACGAGCAAGGTGCCTGGTTAAACCCTCCACGTCGCACGCACCAGCCTATTTTTAGCTTGTGCATTAAATGAACAGGGAATGAGTTTTGTCAAGTGGAGCTTGGGACGGGCAAGACGTCAAGGCAGAGGCAGCGCTTGTGAAACCCGGCTGGTTCCGCCAGGGTCAGTGCTGGCTAGAGCAGGATTTTTCCCTTGTTTTGTGGGTTAGTCATAGGTTTGTTTATTTTTTTAGAGGGTTGTTTTTTTTTTTCTTATTCATCTGTTGCAATCAGAGCAGACACATCATTTCACAGCCCTACATGGAAATCCAAGACCAAGGAACTATTTTTAGCACACAAAATGTCTCCCCTAAATGTATTAACTTTGGAAGAGTAAATATTAAATACACTCTCATCACATTAGAGGTGTTTACGCAGAAGTACAGCACCAGCATTTTAATGGTTAGGGGAAATTATGTTATACCACTAGCACTTAATCAAACACGATAAAACAAGATCTTACTGCAATTCTTTCAGGATAAGTTGAAAGGAACCTAATTCATTTTCACATCCGTTGCCCATGATTTACTGACACAGGGGCATATTTGCCCTGTTAGTATTTATGGTGGCACTTGCAATCCTTATGTAAAACATACAGGGGATAGCCTAACATTTATTTTGCAATTAAACTGAAATGATTCTTCACCTGCTCACTCCAGATCGAGGCATTCAGCACCATCTGTGACAAAGGTACTATAGGCAAACCCCAAGCAAGCAACAGAGGGAAACCCCCTATGCTGTAAGTGGCCATAAATATATATTTTTTTAATAAGAATGGCTTTTTCTAAATTCATTGGGGAATTATTTCTCAGGCTGGGCTGTAGGAGAAGGATGATGTGGTGCTGCTGGTGGACCCCCTGTGTCCCTGCTTTGTTGGATGCCTGAACGAACAGCAGTGACCCTCGTGGCTGGTGGCTCGGGGACCGGTGCTGGTGGCTCTCACCTGGTGATGGGCAGTGGGGATGCTGCCCGGGTTTGGGTCCTGTCCTGGTGGAGCTCCCCACTGCACCTCGCTCCTGTGGGAGCCAGCTGGTGGTTTAGAAGGTGTTTGCCTAAACAGAAGGATGCCAGAATCAAGGAGCTGAGCTATTCTTGGTGAGTTGGTTTCTTTGTCATCTCGGTTATTGTCTCTCCTGTGAAATGGGTTCTCTGGGAAAGGAGGGGATGGATAGAGGTGACATAGTCCTTTTAGCTGCCCCAAATTTTCTTCTTTCTTCCTTTCCTTCCAGGCATTTGGGTTCCATTTCCCATGCCCATTCCCACGATACATTTGGCCAGACCATCTCAGCCATCTCTGGTCTAACACAGGTGCCAGAGGCAGGGATGCATCTTCCCAGGAATTTGGCTAGCTCTCTCTTCCATGACACTCAGATATTTTGGAGACAAAATCCTTACCGGTTGGTATGGCTGTTGCCCCATGTTTCCCAGCATCAGACCCTCGAGGCCTGGCTGAGCTGTGTGTCATCTTCCCTCAGACATTTTGGGAGTATCCCAGGGCCAGGGGCATCAGGGAATCAAATCAAAGGGGTTTTCTTAAACCAGGAGCACGGCAGGCTGCCCTCGCTCCCTGCTTTATGAAATCGAACTCTTTAATATCTCCCTGCCTAGAACAGGCAAAAAACTTATTGTAGAAGATGATTCTTGAACCGGCTTTGGACAGATGGGTTCATGCATGATGCTGGAGGCATCGTGCCTGCACTGTGGGGCCGCATGGACCGGCCAGGAGTTGGAGTTCATCACTGGGATGCCTCCAGAGCTGTGAGCAATAACACAGCTCGGTAATAAAATCCTTAGTTTGCAATAAACTGATCCTTTACCTTTTCATTTAATAGCAAAATATAAGGCAGTGGTAGTTTAAAGGCGGGTTTTCTTTTCTTCTTCCCTGCACCCCCTAGAAGACCCCTCTCAGACTGATGGTTTTAGCGTCGTCTCCACTGTGCACCATGATTTCCCTCATCAATCACTTCGGTAATAAATCGAACAAAGTATGTCCAGTAAATATCTCATTTTCCTTCAGCAGCGATGGTTTTTCAAGCTGTCTGGATGAGCCCTGCCTCTTGCCCCATGCTCGGCAGGTGGAGGTGCGACGGGGGGACAAGCCCCAGCGCCCGCCTGCCCGCAACCCCCATCAGCAGGATAACGAGCAGCGTCTTAACGAACAGCAACACATTGCTGTAGTATTTTGGATTTCACAGCTTGCTTTCACTCCCATGAATAGCAAATACAACAGCGTGTTTCCCCGCCTGTTACGCCAGCTCTTGGCGCAAGAGGCTGCTCCTCCGAACCTGCCGTCTCGCAGCGGGGCTTCCCCTGCGTGTTTTGCTCCAGATCTGCAAAATAAGATTAAAATCTCCAGGAGAAGGGTGGTTATCTTGAATGACAAAAACTTTCAGGCACGGGGGACTTTTGTGAGCACCCTCTTGCTTGGGGTCTCCCCTCCAGCTGTGACAAATGTCTCCAGCTGCGCTCCTCGTGGGATCGCTGCTGTCTGGCAACAGAAACGTAAATGGAAATGCAATGGAAATTCAGAAATTTGCTGTTCACGGGCAGACAGTGGCTGCATCAGCAGGGCCGGACCAGCTCCGCATGCCCACGTGCAGAGCTGCATCCCTTGGGATGCTCCGACGGGCCCTCTGGTCCCTGGGTAAATTTGCTCTGTGTGACCTTGCTCACTACACCGACACAGAGGTACACAGAAAACACTGCTTTATTGACTGCATTTGCCAACACACTGAGGAATGCAAAGGGTTTTTTCATAAGCAATGGGCCATGGTCCCAATGTGTATTAAAGCATACACTGTATCTAAACAGGATGAAAATAATGGCAGACAGAGCTATTCCAAGGCAACACAAATAGCATGCATAATACAGTCTCACACAGAACGAGTTTGATAACATTATATTGCTTTAAGGATTAACTAACATGGAAAATGTACAAAAAGGAGAAATAGGTTTTTGCATTAATGAAAAATACATTTTTTCTCTACAAAGGAATTTCTAATACAAGAAAATAAATATTGCAACATAAGCCAAAAATAATTTAAAATTGCTCTTTTCAATATATTTTCAATATTTCTCTTTTATATTAACAAATGGCACATCACGTTCTTTGAAACAAAGAAAACAGAAGGGTTTCTCCTCCTGCGACATTCATATCGTTTCCTGTTAACTGATGTGAAGTGGGTCTGTTTTGTGTGTGGAATGGCGCAAACTGTGGGGGGATTTCCTTAAAGAACAACCAAACCTCACGCCCTGCGGCAGCATCTTCCCACTGGCGGCTGCTCCAGCATCCTGCTATCGCCTCCCAGCTCCCTCCTGCATCCCGCCTTGGGGTGAGCTCCGTGGGACAGCAGGCATCCCAATCTCATACTATAGGTGCAAGCAAAAAAAAAAAAAAGGGAAAAAAAAAAGAAAAAAATTTAAAAATGGGTGTGGGGAATCGGAGCTGTCCTCAGGAAACTCCCGCAGCCATGGGGGCTGGGGTTGATGTTGGGGCTGTGCTCCATGATCAGGGCACGATGCTATTTGCATCCTCATCTCAACTGCAACCGCTGCTGCTTCTCCAAGGAAACGGGTGCTCTTACAGTGCAAATGTCGATTCCTGCAGTTTATACATCTTAAAAGACAACATTTCTCTACTAAAATAAACCCTTTTATTTTATTTTCTTTCTATTCATTTCAAAATACATTTACAGTAACATCAAAAATATTTGCCTTGTGCATTTTCTCCCCTGCTCGGAGGCAGCGGCGAGGATGCTGCGGGCAGGGGATGCGCCGGGACGGCCGCAGCCATCCTGCTGCGGTCCAGCCCTCGCTCAGCCCCCCCCAGCTCCCGCGAGCCCCCTTTCTCCTCTCTATCCCCCCCTGCCCCATTCTTCTCCCCGTGTTTGACATGCCCCACCAGCCCCCTCCAGCTTTCCCCACCTAAACGCCGTCTCCCGATGGCAAAATAAGATGCCTGACATTTTGGGAGTGTTTCAAACTGTTTTATTGCCTGGTGCTGGCGGCGCCGGGTTGGTTGTTCTTTAAAGTCTCCCCCCTTTTTGCTTTCCTGTACTGAGAAGACAAGTAGTGCAGAAGCTGATGAATGGAGCTGTGTACAGTGAGATTTGTGGATTGCTTTTTTTTTTAACCATAATTGAGTGAAGCACACGGAAGCAAGATTCATTAAAAGGCAGCATATTGATTATTGTTATGACTCTTATACTAGGATACTGTAGCTAAAGCTAGCAAGCCTGATAAGATAAACTAAGTCCTATTTACTGTATTTAACATTATCTGAACATACTGAGCCTTAATTAATGAGCAGATTTTCATTTCCAACCTCAATGGATTATGCTAATTTATAACAAAGGTGGTTCCCGTTTTGTTGATTTTCTGGTTTTGTGTTTTCGCCTTTTTTTTTTTTTTTCCTGCTAATAACACGTGTAACATTTTTCCCATCGGAGGAAGATTCCTCCCCAGGCATGGTCAGTCTCAGCCGGGTTAGTGTTGGGCTTAGCCAGGGCTGGGTGCAGGCGCTCAGCATCCGACCCGAAGCCCCCGCCGCTCGCCATGCCTGGGATGAGCTAGGCTGTCATCGCTTATCTTTGCTGCAGTTTTATCACTAATAAGGACTTTGGAAGGCTGATAAAGATGATCTACTCTAAAACATCAGTTGAAGGAGTCTCAGAGTTTCAAAAGAAAGCTCACAGTGAAATGAGCAAAAAGCATTGGAAATCAAAACGGCAGGATGCGGTCTCGGAGCAGCAGCATCCCTCGGAGCAAGCTTGGAACCTAACGCCGCAGCAGTGTGTTATGAGTGTGTCTTTAGTCCTTTGTTGCTAAATAACTTCCAATTTTTTCAAAATGACAAGTTTCCGGTTTCTGGCTGTGCTGCTTGACTGTCAAAATATTCTTTGGCATCCACAAAATTATTTGACTGATTGGTTTGACAATTGCAAGGTGTTTTTGTTTAGTGATGGGTTTAACCGGTTGCAGAAGTGTCCCAGGTTTGGTTTTTTTTTTTTTTAGTTTTTTTTTTTTAAACATTTTTTATTTTTAAAAAACAACAACAACAAAAGTTTCAGTGAATTCCTTTTTTTTTTTGTTCCCTGAGCTCACACTGGGGTCACTCCAATAAAACACGTAGCACGACTTAACTGTGACCTTTGAAGCCAAAACCGAAGTAATGGTGCAATTAAGTGCAAACATGGAAATTCGCCTGACTTGTAGGTAACATGGGCTTTTAAACAACATTTAAGGCTTACTGGGGACATTTTATGCATTAAATTATTGTAATATTTATAATGTCAGCTTCTGTGAATCACCCTCCCGCAACAAGTCAACAGCTTGTAACCAGGATTTAAGGAATAAAAAAAAAAAGGATGGGGAGGAATAAATTCACCATTTCCACTGTAGCGTTTAGTAGGGAAACAAAATGGTGAAGGCAAGCGTTTCCATTTCCCCTTGGCGACGGTACGTTTGGCCTCGGGGCCAAGCGTTTCGTTGTGCAAAGGGGATTTCAAACGTGCCGCCCCGGCACGGTGGGACCATGGCAGCCATCGGAGAGAAGCACGGGCAGAAAAACTTCGCTCAACCTCCCAGGTTAAACCAACCCCGACTCCCCACGGTGTTTTTAAAGGATGCTTTTCTCCTCCGCCCTGCCCCGCATTTCCATTTTCCAGCTCGCTAACAGCTGACCAATTCACCTGAGTAAATCACTTCAGTTTTTCTAACGACCTCAACGGGGTCGACCCACAGGGCAGGGACGGGGAGAAATTCTGCATCCTGGCCCCTGGACGGATCCCGACCAGATGGAAAGGTGAGGGGAAAAATAACGACCGAGGTTTGGGGTTTTATTTTCTAAAAATAGAAACGTAACGTTGTTCTCTTCCACCCCAAGCGCTTTCCTCCAACAAGCCTTTTGTGCTTTAGTCATTATTTATTTTAGTATCGCTTATTTCGCTTCCTCGTATACGCGCACACAGGCGGGTATCTCCCCTCCCGCAGCTGGCCGCTACCGTACCCTCCGCTCGCTCCCTGCTCCGGGGGCAACCGTCCCGGGCAGAAATCTGCCCCTCGTTAAATAATGCCCATGAATTAAAACTGTCATCCCTGCAGAAAGCACGGGTACCGGCACCCTCCGCCCTCTCGGCACCCTCGGCATCGGTCCCGCCGGGCGCCGGCAGCTCGTGTTCCCGGGAAGCGGGGGGGAGCCGGGGAGGGACCACTACTGTCACGGTCATCGATGTCGGTGAAGCTGAAGCTGTATCTCAGGCGTAGAGAGAAGAGAAAGACAACAGTGCCGAATTTCCAACTATATACACATATTAAAAATCCCCCCTCGCTATGATACCAGGCAGAAATTGGACATGGCAGTTGTAACTGGGTTGAGGCCTCGTCGAGCCGGCGCGGTTGGTCGGGAGGAATTAGGATGCCAGGATGCTCATCCTGACGATGTCCTCGCCGGCCGCATCCAGCTGGCCCCGCTGCGCCCTGCCGCCGCGGGACTCCCCGTCCGAGTCGCTCATCTCTGCGTCGGAGAAGTAGCCGTCCGTCTCGGCGTCGAAACGACGCAAGGGAGCTCCGCCGGCGCCGTCGGGTTTGGGGGGCTGCGACCTCCGAGTCCCTCGGCTCTCCTTTGGTAATTTGAACCGCACGACGGTTTTGGGGCTACCTATGGAGTCAGGCACTTTGGCCGCGGGGCTGGGCTCCGGCTGAGCGCAGCGCGGCGTCTCCTCCTCCTCCTCTTCCTCCCTCTCCTCCTCCTCCTCCTCCTCCTTGCCGACGCAGCCCCTCGCCCCGGCCGGGGGTTGAGGTTCGCCGGTTTTCGGGAGAGAGCCTTTCTTGGCCGCCTTTTTCGCCTCGCCCGTCCCTTTGCGGTCGGTGGGAAGCTTCGCCGTCCCCTTCTCCGACTTGCTCGGTCTGGAATCCGGAGCGAAGGGCTTGGCGGCATCATCCGACAAGTCGCTGGCGTTGTTAGTCCAGGGCTCCGAGCTCTCCGGGTGGCTCCCACCCACGGCGGGGGGGCTGCTCCTGGGCAGCTTTTTCTTAGTGTTCGTTCTCGTTCTGCTTTTCACTTTCTTTGTGGCCTCGCTCTGCTTGAACGGGGACCTGAGGGAATGGTCCATCATGAAGCTCAGCAAGGTCTCCTCGTCCTGGAGGAGCTCCTCGGAGAGGCCGGGGGTGCTGTCCTCGTGGTGGGCGTTGTTGAGGGACCACTCGCTCATCGCCATGTTCTCGGCGGTGATCTGGACCGACTGCGCCAACCAGCTGTTGAAGAAAGTCCCGTCGATGGGGAAGGAGGTTGACAAGCCTGGGAAAAAACAAAAGCGGAAGATAGTCTCAGAAGCCAGGGATGGCCACGCTGCCCTTTGACACCGCCACCAACCTCACTGAAACTCCCCGGCACCGGAGACACGCTCAAAAGGTCGACCGTAACGCACCGCATCAGGACACAGGAGAGGGTTTACTCCAGCACTGACGCTGGGTTTGGGGTTCCCTGAGGCCACAGCACAACAACCCGAGTGGTCCCCCACACCCAACACCCTGAGAACCTCCCCAAATCTAAACTGAGCAAGATGCCGAGCCCCAACCCACTCCAGCACGAGTGGAAAATACATTCCCGTGCAAAGGCGGCAGACAAGCAATCCAGGTGTAAGCTGAAAAAGTTGGTGACTGCTACCAGAGTGGGACTTGTGCCCAGGCGAGGGGTGACAGCTTCCCCAGGGAGCAGTTGCCACCGGGCCACCACGTGCTGCCCAAACCCCGGCCACCACCGGAGCCGGGCGGTCAGTGGGGTGATGGGACCGGTGCTAAATCTGCGTGCCAAGGCAGGGAGGGCGGGAGGCAGGGCTGAGAACATCTCCGAACACTCCAGAGGCGTGAAAACTGAAGAAGAGGAGCAGAGGTGACAGGCTGGAATGGAAAAAGCTGAAAAACTTCCTAATGATTATCTCTTGAGAGCAAGAGCGAGCATCATGGCCTGGGCTGGGTCTAATTAGCAACTGGAAAGGCGCATACCTGTCTGCACAAGCACATGCAGTTTTAATCCCCGCAACAGAAACCCACAGGTTGAACATCAGAGCTGGTTTTATGGATGGAGGAAAGATTAGGCTTGATTTTTGATTTCAGGTAAGAGCTTTCCTTTTAAAGCAGTCAGCCTAGCAACAGAAGAGGGAAAGAGCAGCGGCACGGGCAGGGTGACTCACGTCCACAACGTTTGCTGGTCTCGATGGCAGCTTTGCATCACCCTCCCCTGCGAGCAGCGATACGGGACGTGACCCCGCACCTCCACGCTGCGTGGATGAGCGACCATCGCAGGGTAGGGGGGGACACACAAACAAAACACCCTGCGTGATGCCAGGGCTGCTCAAGGGTGGCACTGGGGAGGTCGGTCAGGTTGGATCCCCATCCCCCCCCCGAGGTGACACTGTCAAGGTGGCAGTCCTGCAACTCCTGGCAGGTCACCACGGTCCTTTTGGAGAAGATGGCCCCCCAGCCCAATGCAGGGCGGGGGAAGCAGGAGCAGGGAGGAGCTCAGGGCATCGCATGGTACCCAGGCGCCAAACAGCCCAAGGTCTTGCCGGCAAGGGCCCTGCCAAGCTCGCCTTTCCCCGGCCCTTCTCTGATGACTGCAGCCCCAAGTGATGCTTCAAGCCCGTAACAAAATCCAGGAGCTTACAAGACCCTGGTGAAGCTCTGGGTTGGCTGCCTGGCTTCCCAGGCTCGCAGCAGTGCAGCTTTTCTCAGAGACGCCCCAGCCCTCCATCATTTGGCGGAATTTGCCCCAGGAAACCCAAGGTTTCTTTGGCAGAAACAGAATGAGCGCAAAAGCCCTGTTTCCAAAGGGGCTCCTGCCTAAAACCCAACAGCTTTGAGATGAACAGAAAGCAGCAGCGTCGGGGCGAGCAATGGGCAAAGCAGAGCAAGGCAGGGTGGCCCAGACCCCCCATAGAAACTCTCTGTACCCCCAGGAGGCTTTTATAGCACCCCCAGAGTGTCCGGGAGCCCCACGGGACCGGTGCATCCCCTGTGCACCCGTGGGACAGCTGAGCACGTGTGAACTCATCACCTCCTGCCCTGCATGCTGGCAGAGGTGACGGCGCCAGAGGAAATCGAACAAAAACCCAATTCCGTGTAAAAACCCCATGCGGTTGTCAAGGATCTTGTCAAAAAAAGACCTTTTTCTGTTTTTTTACCCACCACCCCCCCCCCCAGCCTCGACTGCTGCTGAGCAGCAGTAGGTTGTAGCTGATGGGGAAGAGCTGGATGAAGCATCCGCAGAGCCAGCCTGCATCTCCTCGCCCCCCTCGAGCAAATTCAAGCGATCAGCCGTGCTTTGTGCCTGTCTCCTGGATGCTCCCGGACCGCCGGCACAACCAGCGCGACCGCACAGTCCTGGCCAGTATATGCCATGAAAATGCACAGCCCATGTGCTGTATTCACCATCGCTACACAGCACGGAAGATACGGGGGATTAGCCCTACTGTGGGGTGGGTAAGTCTGATTTTATCACCAGAAAGCAAAATGACGCTTCAGCAGCACATCACAGGTTTTGTAACACAGTCTCTCAATCTGGGCGCAAGCCCTGTGGCTGCGGGGGGAGGATTTTATGCCCTCTGCCCCACCAGGGACCTCGTCTCCGACGCTGTCTCTCCCATAGGACCTCGGTAATTCAGGCTGATGCTCACAAGGGAGAGATGAAGAGGTTCCCACGGCCTCGGGCGTAACTCCACCGTGTACGTGCAGGAGGGATCAGGGGCCGGGACTCTTAACCCTGCTCCCCAAAACAGGGAGCCTCCAGCGGCACGGGTTAACTCTGCGCCCATAAAATCAGACTTACCCAGTTGTCCCAATACAGTTTCGTTGACTGATTTCCTTTTCTCTTTCTTCTCGGGACTATTTTTTCTACCATCTCTTCCTTTCCTTCTCGGGTCACTTTTCTTACCCTTTGTCTTCTTCCCAGTTTGTTCTGGCATTTTTTAGAAAAAAAGGAAAATTCCGTGTGAGACGAGGCATCAGGGATGCTGCGGTGAGCAAGTTCCCCTGGGGGACACCCCTGTAGTGGAGACCTGGACCAGACCTGCAAACAACTCTCAAGCCAAAGGGAGAACAGCTGCCAGATTTTGGCCAACTGTAGGCTAAGGTCTCTATACGTTAAGAAGATCTGAATCCCGTAGTTTATATAAAAAAGAGGCTTGGGCCTTGGATAGGAACTTAAGGTGGCCGCAGGAGCAGTCCCACTGAAGGCAGGGGACTTGCTGGAGATTCTGCAGCCACCGACGTGTCCTCCGGGACCAGGGCTTTTGGGTGAGGACCTGCGGGAGCAGCAGAAGGGATTAACCCCGAACCCTGCTCCAACACCCTCCAGGAGACAAGGGGACCTCTAAACCCGGCGGTGTGTCACCCATCACTGACAAGAGCATCTCCTGGAGGGATTCAGCTGCAAAGCCAGTTTGACAGCAGGGGTACCGGCAGAGTTTTTTAAGCAGACCTTGATTTGATTTGACCTTTCGGCAATAGTAACTGCTCACACTCATACTGTGCAGGGGTGAAAAAACCCCAAAGCTATAAAAATTAAGCAGTGTATTGAGCATAAGTAAATGGAGTAGGGAAGATGACCAGCATTGCCTATGGAAAGCCAGGGATACAACTCTTAGCTATGCAGACTTTCAGCTAAAAATCAGTCTTTCCTAAATGACTTTGAACTTCTACTGGATTTATTCCTCTTAGGTAAACAGACAAATACCCTATAAAAGTATGACTTGTATTGCCAAGCAAAATACTTCACCAGTTTTTACTTACTCCTTTAGGTCGTTCTCCCACAGAAGTCCATGCTAAAACTTCTATTAACTTTCAGAGGGGAAAGGATATTGCCCTTAAACCAAAATGTGGGTGGCTGATGGAAATGGAGGCACGACATGCGTTTTTTTCAGTCTGGCCCATAGGTTGAACCTGCACAAGCTGTGCGGCTGTCGGAGCAATAATTTTAAGAAACGAAATCGGTTTATTGTGTCGGCCAGCAGCAGACCTGCAAACAGCCTCAGCAGAGAGGCCGTGGACTGGATGGGTCAGAGGGAATAACCTCTGCTCTCCCCTCGCTGCGGCAGTGGAAATGTACTGGGCGAGCAAGGGAGGGAATTCGCATTGCACCTGCCTGAGTCTGGATTAACAGAGGATTTACAGTCCTGGGGTTGCCAAGCCAGGAACCCCTCCTGACCAAAGGACTCACTGAAAGAAAGAAAAGCAAAGGCAAAATTGGTATTTGCTACGTTCCTGCCAAATAACTGCAGAAAGGCAGACACATTTTTCACTCCGCTTACAAAATAAAAGTCTAACTTTGTTTAGACAGCACAATGGGGCTAAAGAGAAACCCGAGCAGTACTTTTTGAAGAGGAACCTGTCAAAATAGTAGCCATGTGTCAAAGCCAGACAGTGTTTACTTTCCACTCCATGCAAGAAAAATACAGGGGAGAGAGGTGGGTTCATTTTACACGGTCAGTTCTCACTAATTTTATTAAAAATCTCCTGCTTAAATGATCATTTGTCAGCAGGAAAAATAAACCCCTCCAATTTTGAGTTTTATGTGGGAGCCATTCCAAAAAAACCTTTGTGCCAAAACCATCTTTGGAATAACCCCAACAGATTTCACTCGATGACTACCGTAACAGCAGTTAAAAACTGTCCTCATCCAGGCAAAATAATGGAAGACTTCTTCCTTTCTCCAAGAAACCCCAGGTAGGCAGAGCAGCCCGGTCGGGAGCTGTGCAGAGGGGATGCTACAGGAACCATCCCCCCCGCTTTCAAACCAGTCAGCGCTTCGCAATGACGGCAAACGCAGCCGTGAGTTACCCACAGCTTTGGTCCCGCTGGGCGCCGAGCATCTTTAGCTCCAAGTATCGTCAACTGGCATAAAGGAGGTTTAGCAAATGTGTGGGTGTTGGGAGCGCTTGGTAGGATCGGGGTCTACAGGTGCGTGTTCGGGATGGGACCGGGATGGGACAGCTAGGAGCTGAAGCAGAAAATAAGCACCAAACCGCTTTCTGCGGCTCTGCTGTGTGATGCCACGCATGGGTGGCACGGGCACGGCCGTGTAGGTGCCGTGGGAAGGGGCAGCCGGAGGCTGAGCCCTTCTCTGATCTCATTTACACCCCCTGCCCGTCTGTTCCATGCTGCCGGTGGCCCCAGCGCTTGCTCCTGCTGTCGGGCAGGACCTGGAGCTCAGCGTGGGTTGTGTCCTGCATTCTTGCCTGCACTACGACCGTCACCGCTAACGTTTGGGATTGCAACTTATGGCCTGATGCTATGTCCCGGCAAGGGAAATCCTCCCGAGCTCAGGAGAACCTACACACTGATGCCGAAAGGCAGTCGGGTCCCTCATGTCCCCCTGCCATGGGAAAGACCCCGATGCCCAAATCACCTGGAGATCCCGGGACCAAACTCCTGTACCTGGGCCCTTTTCCCAGCGGCAGCGACTCGTGGGAGCCGGGTCCCAGAGGCAGCAGCCCCTGCTCAGGCTAAACCAAAAAGCCCATCTCAGGAGAGATGAGCAGCTCAGCTCGGTCGGTTCAGGGTGGAAAACGAATTGGCAAACGCCAACCATTTGGGGCAGGAGAGAAGAACGTTTGCATCAAGACGTATGAAGCAATCCCACCGCCTGCACGCCAGTCACCACCTGAGTCACCCTCTCGCCGTGGGTTTGTCTCTTGATCACTCACCTTTAGGCAGAACAAACATCACAGTAACGGCAGTTGTGCTTTTCCCTGAGTACACGCATTAAACATTTTCAGGAAGGGCAACGGCACAGCGCCGGCACTCGGCAGCGCAGACAGCCCCAAAATGTAAGCGGCAGAGCCCCGACACAGCTCTCCCTCGCTGGTCGGCATCTGCACCCCACCGGGGAGGGTCCCAGCTCACCCTCCCCGGGAGGAGCTGCCGACTCCCACCCCATTGCTGCATTAGAGAGAGGGTCGGGCATGCACCTGAGGTCGGACTCCCTAAGGCATTTTGGGGAACTCAGGTCCCCAAGGGCATTTCCAGACACCTAACACCCTGTTTGAGAGGGAGGTGAGCTCAAAAAGCTTTCCTGGCAAACCACCCTGAGCCTGTCGCCTTCTGAGAGCTGCAAATGCTAAACTGGGGGCACCCAGCTGAACTGAAGAGCATCACGAGGTCCCCTGCGATCCTCCCAAAACCCGCAGAGCCCAGCAGCAACAGCGCATGGCATCTGCCTTCATGGTCTGAGTTTGTTGCTCTTGTCTTTTATCCACCCGTTATTCCCCAGCTGGACCTCCCGCCTCGCTGCCCCAGCCAGCAGCATCACCGCTGGGAGCACCAGCCGGCACAAATTTCCCGGATGCTAGGGAATGGCTCTCGGGATGTGCAACGTGGGGTCTCCGGTTGGTGGGAACAGCCGGGAACACCATTTTGTGTGTGCCCAGCCTGGTGACCCGTATCGCTGGTTCAGCGAGGACATACGGAGCAACACACGGTGTCACTGATCTGTGTCATGGGGACCAAGATTTACAGGACCCACATCTCCCCGGAGCACACCCTGGGGTCCCGGCTACCCCTGGCTTTGGCCACCGAGAGGAATTTGCACAGGGTCCGAGTCACAAACACCTCAACGTACGCATTTCTCAGCCTCCAAACCTTCAGTCAAAGGAAACTTTTGTCAAGGAAAGCCCAGACGGTTCCTGAAGAAACCCCAACCATGTGATGGCTTCAAACACAACTCCAAAGCCACAAACACAACAACCGTCGGAAGAGTCTGCCAAAGTGCCAGATGCTGCTGCTGGAAAAACTGTTCTGCAGCCATGGGGTTTGGTCTGCCCTGCCACCGAAGGGAAAGGAGGAGGGAGCAGGAGCTGTGGGCTCCGGCACCGCTTGTGCAAAAGGAAAAAAAAAAAAAAAGGGGGGGACAGAAGGAAACCAACTTCATTTCAGTTCCTTACTAAAAGTTGTCAGAGGCTTTGCATGCAGTAGCGTGATGTTCTCCACTAATAGGTATGCGGAGCAGAGAACTGCAGCTGACCAGAGCTAAAGGAGCCGGTCTCTAGGAGCAACAGACATCCCGCCAGCAGCTTAACCTTTGATTCTTGACAGAGCCAAAGGCATCTGCAAAGAGTCCAAAGCGAGGGCTGCTGACCCATGCCAGGGAGCCAGCTGCCGTGGATCAGCCCCAACACCAGCAGCCCTGTGCCCAGGATTTGCATTCTCCTCCCAGACAGCTCCGTCTCCACGAAAAGTCGCCAAAACACTGCCTTAGCATCACCACCTAACCAAACGCTTGGTCTTTCTGACCGATTCCCAGGGAGAGCAGGATCGAGAGGGATCTGTGAAAACAAGGAGCTCTGGTCACCCAGGGTATGGCTTTATTGTGTGTTTCTGAACAAAACTGGAGATGGGCAGAGTCAACATATGAACTGTGCTTAAATAACACTGCAGGGGAGGGGGCAGCTCGTCTCCTTGGGGTGGGGGGCTGAGGCTTGGGCACCAGTCTTTGGCTTCGGAGGACGGCAGGGACAGCGTCTGCAAGAACAAACTCTGGTAAGCGGTACTGACCTGGGTAAAGATCTTTCTCAATAAGCTTCATCTGGAGATGGAAGATCTGCTCCTGCAGTTTACAGATGGTGTGTTTCATTTTCTCCCGTCTCGTCACCATGTAACAGAGATTTCTAACCTACAGAAACACAAGAAACAGCGTCCGTTTTAGGCAGGGTCAAAGTGGGTCCCCTCAAGCTGTGTCACTGCTTCTGTCACCCAGGGAAATCCCCACTCCCCGGGATTTGGTCTTCTTCATTTCATCATCATCCATGCTGCACCAAAACTCCTACCGGGAGCTCTCTGGATGTGCCAGGACTAGAGGTGAGGGCTCTTGATCCAAACTGTGTAATATATATGGGAAAAACTATGCAGTGAATGATTTAAAACCTAAATGTCTCTGTTCTGGCTCCGACAGCCAGGACCCCGTGGGGGGCAAGGAACGCTGGCCGTCTTCTCCAGCACATGCACTGGGCATACAAAAGCCGTAAGGAAACACAGTATCTCCAGAGATTTTCTTACCCCAACGGCACGTCTCTCCTGTAGCACCAAATCTCCCTGCAAAGCCCTGCAGGTACCTGCCAACGTGCCTGGGGCACCCACCCCAAACCAGAGCAGCCACCGTGGAGACCCCAGCTCCACCAGCCTCTGCCCCGGCACGAGGGACAGCTCGGCCACCACTGCTCCCAGTGCTTTGGGCAGCAGCGAACTGGGACCGTCCTGCCCGGCGCACTGGGGCAGCCCTGGGTCCAAAGGGTCCATGTAGGATGCTGCATGTAGGGGAGTCTCTCTCTCTTGTCTTCTTCTGAACATAATACATAAGTTAATCTTTAACTACTCCCATCAAAGGCCTGAATTCACAGGCAGGGTTTGCCCTTCGGCATCAGTGCTTTTGAGGGCACAAATTTAGCCTGAATAACAGAGCACGCAGGGAGTCAGATGGGGCCGAGCGTGCTGCTAAGCTGCTCCGATTAGTCAGGATTAACTTTCAGTACTTGTTGCAGCACATCCTTTAACTCTGCTGTTGATACACATCAGCGCACAAAGTGACCAAGACCCAAAATGGGAATAGAGCCAGGAGAAACAGGTAAATTATTTTGTAATCTTACCCAGGTACAGCAATGGTGTGGACACACAGGCTGTTTTAATCTCCTGTTAATTGTTCATAGACCTAATGAAGAAGTTAATGTCTCTATAGGATTTGGAAAGTCTCAGAAGGGAAGATGCTGTAGAAAGAGCATTATAAAATATTTATGCAAAGGCCCAGCAGACGCACAGAGCCCCGAGCAGCTGAGCATCGCCCTGAGCCCTCGGTCCAGCAGATGCATCACACACGTGCCCTGTTCACACCTGACATAGAAACCTGCACAAAAAAAATGCCAAATGCTAAGAAGTACCTTGATGCTCCGGGGTCAATATGCCAGTTCTCATCCACAAATTGCTCCTTTTGCAGGGAGGGAGAGACCCTCTTCCCACGGCCAGTGCAGGGAAGGGGCACAGCTGGAAGGGAGCTGCAGGTATGAAGCTACCGATCTGCTGAATGTCAGAGCTTTACAAAACTGCCTGTTGCCCTAAAGCAAATGCCAGGACAGAGCATAGAAATATGCAAAATATCCAGCTGATGCCAGCCCAGGTCAGCAGCCGGTGCAGCTCCCCTACCCCAAATCTGGCTCCTCTATATGGTTGCTCACATTTGCTCCACATCTACCCGCAAATCACTGGTGCATTTTGTCCCAGTTCAGGAAATTTTATTAACCAAGCAGGAAGCCCTAAACGCGAACAGCAAAGCACAAGACATAAACACTCGCAGGAGCTAGCGCAGCAGCGGTTAAACCTTGCTCATCGCACGGGGCTGCCGATAAACACCTCCAGCAGCCTGAGACGACAGAGCTACCGTGTGATACCCGCTGGCATCTGCCCTGTGATGAATTTCAGTGCCACGCTTTTTGCCAGCCCTGTGTAAAGGTGGCTGGAGAGCCGGGCTCTGTCACCATGGCTGCGGCGGGCATCGAGGCTTTCAGAGGAAACGGGAGGGTTTCAGCTGCGAAACAGAAAATGCTAATGGTAGCTAACAGGATTTGACAGCGTTTGCTCAGCTTCCTGATGCTCTGAAAGAGCCTGTACTAAGGTAAGAAGGAGGTGGGCTGAATGGAGGCACGGGCAGGAACGTTCGTGGGTATGTCCACACTCACGTGTGACCCTGATGTCTCCGATTCCTCCCCCTCCTCATCCTCAAACCCCTCCCTGCAGAGGAAGGCTGGGGTATTTCCAGGCTTGGGGGACTGTCCCTACGGGGTTGGGAGCCTCTGTGGCTCTCACAGTGGCAGAGCAAGTCAGACTGGCATGCTACGCTTAGCTAATGTCTGCCACCAAAGGCTGTGAAGACAGCAGGATGACTGTGGCCATCCCCTAATGGTATCGGTCTTACCTGAGGACAATCGGGAAACACTTAGGAATACAGAAGAAAAAGCTGGGTTTTTTTCTTGTTGAATCCCCTAGCTGTAAATACAAAGCAGCAAGCTATATGCTGTGTATTTTACTACGTTCTCTTTTTTTGTTCTGGATTGGAGAAAACATCAAACTAAAATTTCTTTATGAGGATAACAACCGCCTCTGGCAACCTGCATCTCAAAGTGTTTGGCTGTATCTCTTCTCTATGATTTGATATTCCTGGAAGAAAACATTACTTGTGCTCTGCTTAGAGACTGCTGGTATTTACACACACTTCCACAGCTAAACACTACCCAGCGCTGCTTCCCCAAGCCAAGCTTAGACACTGGTATGAAAACCTGAAAGCTACAGTTTTTTGTTAAAGCTCATTTAAACAACCAGTCTTTGGAAAAAGCTTAAAAAAAAAAAAAAAAAAGGCAAAGGGGGTTAAAAAAGGCCAGAAAGAAAACGAGGGGACTGTATTAGGATTCCCAGGCAATATCTTTAATTTGCTGACACTGTAAAGTGCAGAAATGACAGTGGTTAGGAGATGGCAGAGGGAAATGCCATCACCCTGGCTGCTCCGGCATCATCTTCCCCACTGCTTCTGCCTCCCCAACTCCAGGATCCAGATACCATTATCAGCCCTCAAATCACAACAGTTTCCACTGGATTAATTGCTGAAAACACTAAAATTGAACGTGATGCCCCGTGGACACCCTCTGAAAGCCGCCCCTCCAGGCTGCTCTTCTTCGACCCCGATTTGATGCAATGCCTCACTACCTGCAAGTGGAACGGGGTGGCTGTGAGCGGCGCTGACAGACAGGATCAGATACCTGGGATGCACTAGCAGCAATTGGATTTAAACCCGTATCACCCATCTGAGTACCGGACTTTGATCTGGCGAGTGTTTATTGTTCCCCCTCTTGGAAGCAGAGCAAACAAACAGCTCTTCCAGGGCCAGGCAGTGAAACCTGGCAGGGAGTTGCTAAGCAGAGGCTGAACGCCAATGGGGAATGACCCCATGAAGCCTGGAGCCAACTCTGGAAAATAGGAAATCTGGTAAAACGCGTAGTTTTGACACAAAGAAATCAAAGAGAAGCTGCCGTGTCGTGCCTTTGAATGAGGCAGCCCCTGGAGCAAAGTGCTGTACCCAGAGATGCACAGTGGTTCACTGCAGCTGGGGAAGTCAAGCTGGGAGCGAGTGGAAGCAGAGGGAGGTGGAGCAGCCTCGTTTAGATTTACAATATAGAGAAGCAGATGAGGGGAAAAAAGTGAGCTGAACTTGTCATCCTCAGATCCGGCAGCTACAGCCTGTTGCCTACAGCTTGGTGCTGGAGACCCATTAACGGTGGCACCAGCCCAGCCCAACACAGAGGTGGAAACGTGATGCAGCAAAGGAGGGACAGACTGGCAGAGCAATGGCAATGATGGATGCAGGGATGAAGGCCGATAGGGCCACAAAAAAAGAGACCAATAGCTTGAAATCCAATTGCTTTTACACCAGAGAAGGCTCTCAGGCTCCAAGACCCACTGGGGGAGGTGGGTGCAGCAAGGGACCGGGGCGGACTGGTCCAGAGCTGAAACCCAACCTGGACATGAATGAACCCAGTGCTCACCACCACTGTCTTCCTCCCCATGGGTTAAATTATGCCGCAGACCCACAGCAGCTTGGAGAGAGGGTTCAGGGATACGCAGGGGCAGCATCAATGCCACCTCGCCTCCCAGGGAGCAGCACGTCCCCTGCAGCACCCGTGGTCCCCCTGCTCAGGGGACCAGGGCACCACCTCCACCAGGTGAAAGCAATGCTATTTTCTGCTTTCCTCCTTCCCTGCCTGCTCCCAGAGACCCCCTGAGCCCTTCCGTGGCTTTTGCACCCCAGGTAGGCAGTCAGGCAGGGGTCTGGGCAGGGGCCATGGACTCACCCCTCTGCCAGGAACAGGAGAGGGGGAACCAGGCAGGGCTTGGGTTTTAAGCAGAGGAGGAGAAGGAGCTTGGCCCCTGCATGCCAGGTTTGGCAGCCCTGCCCTGCCTGTCCCCATCCCACTGCTGCCCAGTGCCGTGCCTGTGTCCCCCCCCCAGCAACACCACTACGGCACCCATCCCCTCCCTGGCCGCTCTTTGCCGTCTCACTCCGGGTGCTGCGCTTCTTCTGCAATTCCTCCCCTCGCTGCTTCTCGCCTTCGTCGCCCCTCCTCCTCTCCAGCCTGCCTTTGCCCCATCCCTGCTCCTTCCCTCCGTGCAGCCATGACAGCCAAATCCGCAGGCAGGCAGCGTGATGCGGCAATGAGAGGGGCTCCGGCACCGCTTTGGTACTGCTGCTTCACGGATGCTTGCTCTCTCCCAGAAAGCTGCCGTGGAGGTGGCTGCTCCCTCCCCTGTGCAAGGATGTCCCGCACCATGGGGAGCTGCGGGCACCTGCATCCTCCGGCTGCATCCTCCGGCACGGCTCTGCCTGCGCCAGCAGCTCCCCGAGGAGCCGACCCACTTTCGGCTGCAGCAGGGCAGGGAATGCCCAGTCCCGTGCTCGCTCCTGCCATTCACCCGTCTTTGACGTTTAATGTAAGGAAATAATGCCGTGTTCCTGCGCCTTGCTGCTGGAAAGCATCTGAGGGGCAGCACAGGATAATTTTGTGGTTTGAGACTGCTAAGATGTAGTGGATGTAAGCTGCAGCAT